CCATCCATCCATCCATCCATCCATCATCCATCCATTCATCCATCATCCATCCATCATCCATCCATCCCTCCATCCATCCATCCCTCATCCATCCATCATCCATCCATCCCTCCATCCATCATCCATCCATCCATCATCCATCAATCCATCCATCCCTCCTTCCATCCGTCCATTCATCCATCCATGCATTCTTACATCCTATCCCTGATTCCATATATCCATCCTTCCATCCCATCCCATCCCATCCCATCCCATCCCATCCCATCCCATCCCATCCCATCCCATCCCATCCCGGCCATCCGTCACTCCATCCCAGCTGTATTTTGTTATTCCCACTGTACCTCTCTCCGGCTCTCTGTGCTGGCTCCCATTGGGATTCGGGAGTTTCCAGCAGCCAGGATCATGGAGAAGCCGTTCCCACACGGATCCAGGTGCTGGCACCACAGAATTTTCCCGATTGCACCAGAAAAGTTGGGAATTTTCACCATCCTGGTACGGAACCGAGCTCATCCCGAGGCTGAAGGGGAAGCGGCAGCTCCTCTGGGGAAAAGCAAAGCCACAAAATCCATCCCCGTCCCACTGCCTGGGATACTTGGATTTCAGCTTCCACATTCCAGAGGGGGAAAAAAAACCCCTGGGAAGTGGCTGGAGGATTCGGCAGCACCTGGAATTTTTCATGTCCAGCTGTGAAATGAGTGGAAGAGGACGGGAGCAGCGAGCACGGCTGGAATTCAGTGGCTGCTGGCCTGGGACAGTCACTGCAAAGGGGATGGAATTCCATAAAAATTCCTGGCTGGCTGGAGGAGCTGCCACACGCGACCACAAAGATGCCGGAAGTGGAGTTTTCTCTTTCTCCAGCCTCCGGAGGAGCTGCTATAAACGATCCCAAAAATGTTGGGAATATTTTCCCTGTCTCCATTCCCTGCGTCAAGCACATCCCTTTATTTCTGCATGGATGATTCCCTATATCCATCCCCAGGCAGGGTTTTACGGAATTCTGGGTCAGAAGGGAATTTAGGGATCGCTCATTCCATGTCCTACCATGGCAGGGACACCTCCTGCTACCCCAGGCTGCTCCAAGCCTTGTCCAACCTCTCCTTGGATATTCCAGGGATGAGGAGTGGGGAATTCCCCAGCACAGCCAGAAGTTGTCTGATCTCCTTTCGCAATTCCATCTTTTTTTTTTTTCCCATCCCATTCCCGTTCCAGCGCGATGCAGCCGCCCCAAAGCCGTGGCCAACGCTCGCATCGAGGCTGGGAATCGCACGGAGCTGAATTCCCGCCTGCGCTACTCCTGCAATCCCGGATACAAACGGAAAGCTGGGACCTCCAGCCTCATCCAGTGCATCCTCTGGAACGGCTCCGAGCCCCGCTGGACCGACCCCACGCTCCAGTGCATCCGTAAGTCCGTGAATTTGGGAAGAAACACGAGCGCCACCCAAGCTCTGGTTCTTCCAAAAGATTCAGAAATAGAGGGGAAATTACGGAATGGAATCCGTGGAATTCCTAACGGATTGTGGGTGATGGGTGGGAAAACAAAAATTTAGGACCTCACGTCCCTCAGTGCTCCCAGAGCTGGGGGAGGAAGTTAAATCCTGGGAAAGGAATTTATTGTGGAGGATGGAACACCGGGAATGTGGAATTTATAAACCAGAAAAAGACTTTGGATAACGCAGAGGTCTGGGAAAACATAATTAAAAGGCTGAAAATATGGATTAATTAGGATAATTAAAAAGGGATCAATTATTCATCAATAGAAGGGTAATTAAGAACTTGAAGCAAATGAACATTAATTCCTTTTTTTGCTAAAATGTATAAAATTGTTAAAATTTGACAACAAACATCCAGAATTTGTGAAATTTCCCCTGGACCTCAATGTTGGATAAAATAATTGGATAAAATAATAAAAAAATAAATATCCAATAAAATATTGAATAAAATAATTTTGTCTGACTCAGCAAACCGGTTGGAGTTTCATTTCCCAGCTGATGGTGTCTCCCTGTTGTGTTTTCCCAAAGGAGATCCGGCTCATTACTGGGAAACCCCCGGCACAGACAGCACGACCCAGAGGGGTGAGGAACGGGATTGGGATTGGGATTGGGGTTGGAGCCTGGGGTTTGGAAACCGCAACATTCCCGTGGTGGGATCCAATTCGCGCCATCTCCTGAAATCCCAGCTGTTGGATGAGGGCGCGGAAATAACGGAGCTGCTTTTCCATTTTGGGAATTTCAAGATTTCCCATCGTTTTCTCAGCAGGAAGAACCGACGCCAGCCCGAATTCCAGCCCTAATTCCAGCCCGAATCCCAGCCTGAATTCCAGCCCCTCTCCAGCTTCCAGTCAGTCCCTTGTGCTGCCAGATGGATCCAGGCCGCCGGAGACGATTCCAACACCGGACACATCCACGCTGGGAGAGGGGAGAACCCCGCTGCCCATCCCACCCACGGATCACGCCGCAGGTTGGGCCAATTCCCGAGGGAATCCAAACCTCCCCTGGGGCTTCTTTGATCCATAAAGGCTCTTCTACTTTTCCAATGGAATTTTTCCTTCTCTCCAATCTCCTTTTTTAGTGAGGCTCCTCCCAGAATCCACCCCTTTCCTACTCTGCAGCTCAAAATTTCCTTTTCTCTCCTCTTTTCCAGTTTCCATCCTGCCCGTGGGCTCTTCCATTGGTAAGTTGGGAAAAAAAATCGCTTATTTGGGCAATGGGGGCTTATTTATTCTTTTTTAAAGCTTCAAATCCCTTTTGGGAGCTATGGGAGCTTTATTCCATGACCAACAGGAATGGGAGGGGGAGGGAAAGGATTCAGCACCCAAATTCCTTCCTGGAAAGAAGAATTCCAAATTTTCTCCCTCTGGGGGTGGGGAGGGCACCTTGTGATGGTGCCCAGAGTGGGTTTGGCTCCTTCCGGAGCTATTTTGGTGGAATTCTTTGGCCGTGGGTTGGGAGATGTTCCTCACTCCGTGTCTCCATGCCGCAGGATTCCTGGTGCTGCTGGCCACCGGAATTGCGGCCGCCTGCTGCTGGAGGAGGAAGTAAGGATGAGTTTTCCAAGGCTTCTGTGCTTTCCAAAGGAAAACCTTGGAATGGCACCAATGCTCCTCTTCCCTCCGCAGGTGCACTGGGCAGGGCTACGCGGTGACGGAGATGGATATTCCCATGGAAGCTCATCCCGCCGGGAATGAGGAGGTGGAGCCTCCCGTCGTCGTCCCCACAGGCTGAGCACCCGGCCCGGGGACACTCAGAGCATTCCCATCCTGAGGGATGCCGGAGGATGGAATTCCGGCCGCTTCCCTGAGAGCAGCCAGGGACGCGCAGCTGAACGCGGATGGTTCCCACGGATGATCCCGAAGGTGGGGGTATGTCCTACACTGGGAGCTGGGATTTGTGGGAATTGGCCCTGGGGATGCTGGTGGTGGGCAGGGAGAGGGTTGGGATGTTGGGATGGGATTTGGGATGAAGCTGAGCTGCCCTGCCCCAGGTAATTCCCATCCCCTGTCCATGGATAGACTCGGATTAGCTGGATCCCATCCCTTTCCCAGCTCTGTCCCAAATCCCAGGAATTGGATGGAAAGACCCAGCTGAGCATTTCCACATATCCTCATCCCTTTCCTGTTCTCTTCCAGCCACTGAGCCAAAGGTGTTGGGAACATCCCACCCTCACACAGAGCTCAGGGATCCTTGGGAAGCACTTCCAGCGCCGATCCCGGCTCCAGATCCTGATCCCCACCCGGAATCCAAGCTGGAGCGGGCATCTCCACGGACACCATCGAGGACCAAATAATTTAGGGAATATTTTCCTTTTTGTGTTTCCCTTTATCCATCAGCAGTTTTTATGCACTTGTTCCCTTATCCAGGTTTTTTGCACTTGTTCCGTCATCCAGGTTTTTATCCACTTGTTTCCTCACATTCCGGAAAAGGCAGCTCTCTATTTTTAGGTAGAAATAAATGTATTTTATATGGAAAATACACTCAGATTTTTCACTGGATGTCTCAGGAAGGATTGGATTGGGATGAATCCCACAGCATTCCCATCAGACACCGCGGAATCGAAGGGTTCATTCCCAACCTCCGGAAGTGACGGCACAGAGGAGTTCTCAAAAAGCTTGGGATGCACCGGCTGGAATTCCATGGATTTTCCTGGCTGCTCCTGTCCTGTTTGTGCCTCCGATCCGGGGCACATCCCTCTTCCGAAGGAACCAGGAATCTCGGGAGAGGCCGGAAGGGAGCCCTGGGATGATCCAACGGCCACTCGAGGCTTTGTGCTCCCATCCAGATCCAAGAGTTTGGAAGAATTCCTGCCCACGCTGGGAACGCATTCCCGGAATCGGCTTCCAAAGTGAAAGAAGAGGGAAGGAAGCGGCTCCATGGAATCCAATCCATCCCATGGAATAAAAACCAGGATGCACGAGCTTCCTGCAGCAGCTCCAGGCCGTGGCCAAGGGCGGATTCCAAAACCACTTCCAGTTTTGGTTTCCCATGGCACGGACTCTGGAATTGTGGCCTCCAGGCACGGAGAGCATGATCCACCTGAGAATTCCCAGGAAATAAAAGGATATTTGAGGGCATGGAAGAGACACAATGGAAGTGTTAAGGGGTTTTTTTTTTGGCTATAAATTTAATTTGAGGATTGGAAATCCCTCTCCAGTTTGTCCCCGAATTTTTCTGCTCCTGCCTTATCTCTTCCCTCCTGGTTGGCTGCAGGGAGGAGGGAAAGAATCCAGGGAAATCCCTTGGCTGCAAGGATGGAAGATGAATTCACTGGGAGAGATTCAGGATTTCCTCCCCTGGCTGGACAGGAAAAGTTCATTTCCAGTAAATAAATTTTCTTTGGATATTTTCCAGCATTGTGCTTCCTCTTTTTTCCATTGGATCAGAGGGAATTCCGGGAATGACGGGATATTTGGGAAGTTTGGTGTCAGGGGAAAGAGAGGGAATGCTCCAAAATGAACCTTGTTCTGTCGGATCCCATTCCTGAAGTGCAGGAATATCCTCTGGAATATCCTCTGGATATTCCACTTCCCAGCTCCTGGAGGATGAGGCAGGGCTGGAGGAAATCACATCATCCCCAGGGAGCCTGGAAATTCCTCTGGAGCTGGGAACATCCCGCTCCAACATTTGTCTGGAATTTGGAGCTGGGCTGAAATCCTGCTCCAACATTCGCCTGGAATTTGGAGGATTTGGCTGAAATCCTGCTCCAATATCCTGATTTCCATCTCCAATGTCTGATTTTGGAGCTGGGATGTGCCAAGAGGAATCCTGCTCCAACTTTCACCTGGAATTTGGAGCTGGGCACATCCTGCTCCAACTTTCACCTGGAATTTGGAGCTGGGCTGAAATCCTGCTCCAACATTCGCCTGGAATTTGGAGGATTTGGCTGAAATCCTGCTCCAATGTTCCGATTTCCATCTCCAACGTCTGATTTTGGAGCTGGGATGTGCCAAGAGGATTTGTCCCAGGTCCAGGACGGCTCTGGGAAGCCAGAGGCTCTGTCAGGGCTGGATGGGCTTTTCCTGGATTGTTGGTAATGAGACGAGTGGAGCCAGGCAGCCAAAGAATTGCTGGGTGCAAGCCTGGCACAGGAATCCCCCCAGATCCCGGCTGCCGTCGCTCTGCGGGAGGAAAGGAGGAGATTTCAGGGAAGAGGAAACTGCAGGAACAAAACCTCGGCTTCCAAGCTCTGCCCCAATCCAGGGAAAAGAGCCAGGATGTGCCCAAAGCAAGGAATTCCCACAGGGAATCATGGAATGGCTGGAAAAGATCTTTAAGGACATCGAGTCCGACCGTTGCCAGCAGTGCCAAGGCCACCCAGGTCCCCGAGTGCCGCATCCACTGGGCTCGGAAATCCCTTCAGGAATGGGAATTCCATCCCTGCCTTGGGCAGCCCGTTCCCATGCTTGGAAAATTCCATTAAGGAATTTTCCCGAAGTCCAGCCTAAACCTCCCATGGCACAGCCTGAGGTTGTTCCCTCTTGTCCTGGACGTGGAGCTCCACGGATTGACCTCGCGTTCCCTACAGAACTCGGCCTTTCCAGCACCCTCTGGACAAGGATCCAGGTGGGATCCATCCCAAACCCAGCCCCAAAAGTTGGGATTGTCACTGGGGCCAGGGCGCTGTGCCGATCCCACACGGATATTCCGTGGATTCCAGGAGTGAATCCAGACTTGGATGCATCCGAGCACCTCAGGATGTTCAGGATCCACGGGAAGCGCAACACGAGCTGGAATTTCCCTTGGAATTCAGCCCTGGTTGTGAGCACAAGGAAAGGGATGGGGAGCTGAGATCCCTGCTCAGAACAGGACTGGAATGGCTCGGGAAGGCTCCCAAATCCCAAATCCCAGGGAAGTGACGTACGCGACTCAACGGGAGCTTCTTCACCACCAGCCCGGAGCGGAATTCCAGGGATTTTGTACATCCCAACACACAACAAGGGATGGGAGATGGGGGAGCCTCACTCAGCAGCTCCACCCGGAGGAAATGTTCCTGGGAAACACGGAAAAATGGGAATATCACCACTCCGAAGGAGATGAAGGTTGATCCGTGACTTTTTTAGATGAGAGGAGGGAGGGAGGGAGGGAGGGGAGGGGAGGGAGGGGAGGAAAGGAAGGAAAGGAAGGAAAGGAAGGAAAGGAAGGGAAGGAAGGGAAGGAAGGAAAGGAAGGAAAGGAAGGAAAGGAAGGAAAGGAAGGAAAGGAAGGAAAGGAATGAAAGGAAGGAAAGAAGGTTGGTTCCGCTTACTCTGGCCAGGCTTAAAAGGCTTTCCAGGGATTTGGACATCAGCAGGCATTTCCTGGCTCTCGTCACGGCCACGTAGAGCAGGTTCCACTCGTCCTCAGGGATCTGGCCTGCGAGGGAGGGAGAAATCCATGGATTTTGGGAGCTCTGTGCTCCTTCCAAGGCTTCAGCGCCCCTGGAATGAGCTCGGAGCTTCCTTCCCACCCCAACAATCCCAGGGTTCCATCTGGGATAAATCTCTGGTGTTTTGGGTGGGAATGTGATCCCAATTTTCTTTCAGGTTCTGTTTCCGTGGAAAGCCGGGAGGAGCCCTGGGAAATTCCCACTCCTGGCGGGAGAAGGAGGAAAATGAAGCCTGGAGGGATTTGGGATGGCTGGAGTCTCCTTTCCATGGAAAAATTATCCCAAAAATCCAATCCCAACCTCCCCTAGGCAAGGCTGAGGCTGTTCCCTCTTTTCCTGGGGATTCCTGGGATGTGCTGGGAATTCTCATGGGGCTATGAGCAGAGAATTCCCAAATTATTGAGGTTGGGAAAGAATTCCAGGATCACCAAGGCCAAGCTGTGCCTGATCCCCTGAGTGCCACATCCAGGAATTCCTCGGATTCCTCCAGGGATGGCAACTCCAAACCTCCCTGGGCAGGAATATTTATGGAATGGGAGAATCCTTAGGGCTGGAAAAGGTGTGCAGGTGAAGGAGGAGGGAGAAGTTGTTTTAATGGGAAAAATCATTGGGGGGGTTGAAAAATAAAATAAAATAAAATAAAATAAAATAAAATAAAATAAAATAAAATAAAATAAAATAGAATGAAATGAAATAAAAGAAAAGGAAATAAAATAAAATATAAAATAAAATAATAAAATAAAATAAAATGAAATAAAGGAAAGTAAAAGGAAATAAAAAGAAAAGAAAAGAAATAAAAGGAAATAAAATAAAATAATATATAAGGAAAAAATAAAAAGAAATAAAATAAAATAAAAGGAAATAAATTAAAATAAAATAAAATAAAATAAAATAAAATAAAATAAAATAAAAGGAAATAAAAATAAAATAAAATAAAAGGAAATAAAATAAATAAAAAATAAAATAAGAACTTGAGTTTTCCTTATTCTGTTTGGACATGATGGAATCAGGGAGTCATGGAATTCTTTTGGTTGGGAAAGTTCTCCAAGAGATGGAATCCAACCATTCCCAGCCCTTCCCTGTCCCCAGGGGCCACATCCACAGGGCTCTGGAATTCCTCCAGGGAAGGCGACTCCCCCCTGCCCTGGGCAGCTCATTCCAACACTTCACAACCTTTTCCATGCAGGAATTTTCCCTGAAATCCAACCCAACCCAACCCAAACATTCCCTGGCCCATCCTGAGGCCGTTCCCTCTCCTCCTGTCCCTGTTCCCTGGGATAAGATCCCAAATCCCCCCCGACTGTCCCCTCCTGGCAGGGAGTTGTGCAGAGCCAGAAATTCCCCCTGATCCCTCTTTTCTCTGGGATGAGCCCCTTCCCAGCTCCCTCAGGAATTCTCCAGCCCCTCCAGGAATTCTCCAACCCCTTCCCATCTCCTCCAGGAATTCTCCAGCCCCTTCCCAGATCCCTCAGGAATTCTCCAGCCCTTTCCCATCTCCCTCAGGAATTCTCCAGCTCCCTCAGGAATTCTCCAGCCCCTTCCCTGGACACTCTCCAGATTCTCAGAGCAAGGACCCAAACCCACA